TTCATAACCAGAACCCATTAGTTGTGCCGGACGATGAGAAACAAAAGGTTCTCACAAACGCAATTTATACGAACAGAGTAATTCTTTAAAAGTCACGATTTAATCGCAGAAAGCTGGCGAAGTATTATATTTCAATAGACCTAAAATTTGTAATAAAAATTACATAAACTGCAGATATCCTCCCCCCCCCAACCCACCCCCGACATTCCGTCCAACTTGTCCATCTTTTGTCTTCCACAAGTCACTGCCAAAGAAGCTTTTTATTCAATACCAGAACTCGTCATATGACAGACAAACATCGTAACATATTTAAACTCTTTATCCAAATATACACCTCAAACACATGCTAATAACACGTGAGCTTCGAGCTTGCGCGCAACATCTTTGATGAAATTGATATCGAAATAGACATTTACTTTTAACATATGTTATTTATAAATCTGTCATGAAATGAAAACCACCAACAACAAACAAACTGCACTTAAAGCGAAACAGGAATTGCATGAAATGGAAATTAAAACGACATAAAATAAATATTTAAGTATTGGAAAAGGCCAAGGTCAGAGATCGTATGATCAAGTATGGTATTCTTAATTGTGGAATAGTGGCTAGATTGGTAGCCAACTAGCAGTACCTATTGCTACGGTGGCTTTGTCCCGCTCTTTGAACCAGAAAATGAGACTGACTATCACTTTTATAAAGTGCCACAATCTATAATCCTGGAGCATGTTCAACGACAAATCTCGAAACTTGAACCATTTGAGTTGCATTCCAGCATGCCCACCATTGATCGACGCCTGGCCCATAAAGTTTGTTTGTTTGTTACGGATTTCGCGCAAAGCTACACGAGGGCTATCTGCACTAGCCGTCCCCAATTTAGCAGTGAAAGACTAGAGGTAAGGCAGCTAGTCATCACCACCCACCGCCAACTGTTGGGCTACTCTTTTTACCAACGAATAGTGGAATTGACCGTTACATTATAACGCCCCCACGGCTGAAAGGGCGAGCATGTTTGGTTGACTGGGATTCGAACCCACGACCCACAGATTGTGAGTCGAGCGCCCTAACCACCTGGCCATGCCGGGCCTGGCCTGGCCCATAAAATAAATAGATGACTAAAACAAAGACAGTGAAATTTAAACTGGCTTGAGCGTGTAAGTGGAATTATTTGAACAATTAACGGAAATATAAACGTCAAATTAATGAACTTAATGTTTTTAAGAATGCAATAAAAAAGAAACTACTTCAAGTTGGACAGTAAAGATGAAATACTAAAAAAAATCACCAAATCAAAGACAAGTAAAAACCTAAGCAAAAACCAATATTTCTGTCTGTATAGATAAGATAAGGCAAAAAATGAAAATGTTTGTTACCTTCATCTACTTCGTGGAACTGACGACCTCTTCTTCTTGAATTCCTATAGGTCCCTAAAAACAAATTACACAGCTAAGTATTTATATTGAAACATAAAACTAACCATTTGGATTGCCATTTAGTCCGTAGATAGACAAAAACAAAACTTGGAGACAGCTGCCGAAATTATAACCGAAAGCCCGTGAAAAAATATATTGATAAAAAACAACATGGAAGATGAAAAACTAGTTTTTATACTTATATATTTAAATCACGTTATGACATAGTCTACATCAATAACTGACACAGTAGCTGGATGAGTTTTCTCCTATTTTTTTAATTTCTTACGTTATGATTCTTCGGTATGTATAACCTTAAATGTTTTTACTTCTTTTTTACATTAGCAAGTGTTCAAAAAGTAGACAGAATACTGATAAGCAGGGGGTAAGTTTCAGTCGGTGCACAAAACCAGCAAATTATTTCAGAGGACAATTTTTTGCTTTTTGTAAAAGATTGTAAATATTAAACTTAGTACTTTACTACAATTTAGATAATACTTACTCTACTGTTAAATTATAAAACGCCTTTAAAAATGGGGGAAGACGTATTCGCTGACATATTAAGCACAGACATACACTTGTCCCCTTTTGGGATAGCGGTAAGTCTAAGGACTTAAATCCGAGGTTCGATTCCCCGCGGTGGACAAACCAGATAGCCCATTATGGCGTTGCTCTAAAATACAAACAAACTGACATATACTTTTCCAAAAATTCTCCACTTCTGATAACGAAAAAAAAGAGAAACAATCAGCCTTCTTATTCGTACAAAATTAAAGCGGTTCCAAGACTTGTACTAAAATATTATATTTCCATAATTAATATTCAAACCAGGATTTAAATAAATTCGCTGTTCGTTGTTTGTGTAATTAACTAGTAAATTTTGTTTGTTTGGAGTTTCGCGCAAAGTTACTCGAGAGCTTCTGCCCTAGCCATTCCTAATTTTAAAGTAATAAACTAGAAGGCAACTAGTCAACACCATCAACTGCCAACTCTTTGACTACCCTTTACCAACAAATAGTGGGATTGACCGTCACATCATCACGCCCTCACGGCTAAAAGGCGAGCATGTTCGGTGACTGGATTCGAACTCGCAACCGGCAGAGTCGATTGCCTTAACTATAAACTAGTAAAAATGATGTATTTCATCAGATCATTTTAAATTTAACAACAGTTTCAACTTAAATGATGCCAAGTTATACACTAAACGTGGAGTGTACATCATAAAATGTCTTTCTTTTTTTAAGATTTTGACACATGACTTGCATGTTTAATCCAGTTAATGCAATGGGTCTACAGATTTTGATCTATTAGGGACAGGAGCGGAAATCAAGTTCAGAAGTACCACTTCACCCACGTGACCACAATGTATAAGGATATAAAAATATAGTTCAACACAGGTGAAACATAACTTGCACTAACAGCAAGGTAATGGATGCCTCACAGCCCGCTTTGACTAGTTGAAAGCCCCCCCCCCAAAGCTTTGGACGTCTGTCATCAGAAAGTTATGAGCCATAACACGATGTCTAGCATTGTTTACCACAAATCGTGCGAATATTCACCACAACACATTGTAGAAAATTCAAATTTCAGATTACTGTTATTGACATGAAAAACAAAATAAAAATTTACAATGTACCAATACACATTGCTTTAACTTCAAATATAACTAAACAAGCGCTGTGTCAAATTTAGTTTTAATATTCCGAAATGAGCATTTTTTTCTACTCCATACAGGCATCTGATGACCACGCGATGGTCTCGTTTCTGTGTTTTTATTGGTGTAGTGTTTAAGAACTGTTTGTTTGTTTGTTTTGAATTTCGCGCAAAGCTACACGAGGGCTATCTGCTCTAGCCATCCCTAATTTAGCAGTGTAAGACAGCTAGTCATCACCACCCATCGCCAACTCTTGGGCTACTCTTTTACCAACGAATAGTGGGACTGACCGTCACATTATAACGCCACCACGGCTGAAAGGTCGAGCATGTTTGGTGTGATGGGGATTCGAACCCGCGACCCTCAGCTTGCGAGTCGAGCGCCTTAACCACCTGGCCATGCCGGGCATTTAATAACTTGAGGCCCTGCATGGCCAGGTGATTAGGATGCTCGACTCGCAATCTGCGGCTCGCGGGTTCGAATCCCCATCACACCAAACATGCTCGCCCTTTCAGCCGTGGGGGCGTTATAATGTGACGGTCAATCCCACTATTCGTTGGTAAAAGAGTAGCCCAAGAGTTAGCGGTGGGTGGTGATGACTAGCTGCCTTCTCTCTAGTCTTCCACTGCTAAATTAGGTACGGCTAGCGCAGATAGCCCTCGTGTAACTTTGCACGAAATTCATAACAAACAAAACAATCAAGAACTTGTTGAAGTTGTTATTTGCGTATAGAAACTTATAATGCCAAAATACAGTTATGTCGACCTTATTTTTCATGGTTATGTTGTATGCTGCATACACATTATTAAGAGCATTTCTCCGCCTGCGTAATGTACGGAAGTTTATTTTAGACTGAAGCAAATATTTGTATTTGTACGCGATTTTGCAACGCAAAGCTACATAAAGGGCCATTTTTTCGCTCTGCTCACCTCGGGGGAATGGTACCTCGAAATTGAACGTTGTAAGTCCGGACACTTACCGCTGACCCACCGAGAAGGACTAAATATTTCCAACTGTGTGTACACTTTAATGATTTTTGGTGGAACTCATTATACAAATTTCTTACTTCCACTACCATCGTACTCGTAAAGCCGCTGATCTGGCCTTCTTCTGATCCCTAATCTTCTTGACCTGCCTTCATTTCGCTCTTGCCTTCTTCTGATCCCTAATCTTCTTGACCTGCCTTCATTTCGCTCTTGCCTTCTTCTGGTCCCTAATCTTCTTGATCTGCCTTCATTAACACCTGTGAAAAACAAACTAGTTTAGTATTGTTGGAGTGTAATAATGAAAAGAAAAATTATACGAATAAAAATCACAAAACAACCAAATAAGCACACAATCTTTTAAAGATGTAAATGTTATTTAGATACGTATATATGTATACGTTTCCTAAAGCCCCCAGTGGCACAACGGTATGTTTGCAGACATACAACGCTAGAAATCGGGTTTCGATACCCGTGGTGGGCAGAGCACAGATAGCCCACTGTGTTGCTTTGTGCTTAATTAAAACTAACCTATTCTGATGTTTTTTTATGGCGCGCTATAAATTAGGTGAGAGGAGAATGAAATTCAATTTTTCAGTCGTAACGTCACCTTATACGCACATTGGTATATATATATTTGTCCGTAACTTAAACTACTGACCAAAGGGAAGATAGCCAGCTAGCAGCACCACTGCCACATGAGTTTTATCGGGCTCTTTTGAACCAACAAAAAAGGCTTGCGTATCATTTTTATAACAGCCGAAAATACTGTGCGTTTGTTTGTTTGTTTTTTTTTAATTTCGCGCAAAGCTACACGAAGTCTATCTGCGCTAGCCGTCCCTAATTTAGCAGTGTAAGGCTAGAGGGAAGGCAGCT